AATTTGAGATATGATTGGCTTATAAACACGTGTAACTATATCGGAATAATCTACGAATTTGAACGTTCGCTCCTGTATCTTCGGATCCATTTTGCGGAACACTAGTCCCTATGTACTGTCCGTAGACTCTCCGTACTATGTATAATGTACGTACGTACATATTTGTGTATCACTCAAGGGTCATATGCCTAATAAGTAGCCAATCAAAAGCCTGAAAATTGACACGCACATGCCGTTTAGTAAATATAAGATATCGTAAATGTAAAATATCTGGTACGTACGTACGTACGTATGTAACTTAAGCATAACGATAAGAGACTCTAGTTTACACCAATGTTCAAATCTAATCCCATTGAAAACACCATTTTCGTTATGTGCTTTTTCCTAATCTATCACTTTATTCACGATCCGCCTCGTTTGCGTTCCTTACCTACATTGTATCCAGTTTGAATTACGTGATGGTAGACCATTATACTGCATAGTCATTTAATTAGGCAAAATTAAATTTCGTTAAAAAAAAAAAGGTCAAGAACAGTAAAAAAAGTTTATTAAATAATATGTATATCGATATATAATATAAATACAGAGTTAAATGTCAATACAGGTTAAATGGTAATATTAATACAAAGCTGAATAACTTGAAATAAATTTCATGATATTTTTTTTGACTAACATTAGATTCTGATACCAATTATGCAGCTTTATACAAATATTATGCTCTTTACAAAAGGGAATAGAAAAAAAGTACATAAAGAGGCTATTAAAGTTTTATTATATAGCATCTTAGTAGAAGTTTTTTTTTTTTTTTTTTACACCTAATTTTCAGGTCAGATTCAATACTGCCATTTATAAAAGCGACACATCACTATGACATATCAATTTTACACAGAAACCTAATAGGAATAAATCTTTTTAATTGACTTAATCATTGCTGTGAGTGTTATAACTATAAATTGCGATAAACTTACCTCTACACTAATTAGATGCAACAGCAACAGCAAAATTCTCTAAAACCACCTCCCCCACGAAGTTTACGAATATTTTGGGGAATATTTTGTTCAGAACTTGTTTTATTTGGTTCATTAGTTTGAGAGACTAAATTAGGCGACATATTATTTATCGCTGCTGGTTCAACCGTAATTGGTTGAGTATTAGAAGTTTGTTCTTCAGATGTAGTTACTTCTGGCATAGTGAATGGTTTTTAGCTTTAAGGAAAAAAAACCGAAATAATAAGTTTTGAGAGAAAGCGAAGTTTTCGTTTAAAGCTAATGAAATAATGGGTAGCTAAATATATACTGATTATTGTGCCAAAAAATATTAAGATCTACTTTTTCTTTGGCGTATTGGTTATACCAACAAAACACCGAAATTCGATTAGAGGGAAATACGTGCGTACAATTTTATCATAACACATAAAGTTTCTTCTAAATCTTCAATGATTTTATGCACTCAGAAGAAATCTTAATGATAATTTAGGAAATTCATAGTCGTTATCCAAATTGATAATTTAGGAATTCCTAAATCATAATCGATGATCGAGGAAATTTATGGTCATATTGTTATTGAAGTTGATAATCTGGATAATTATATCCATTATTGAAGAGGTCGTAACCAAGTATAATTGTGTAGTTGGACAGACGTACGTACTTACGTACGAAAAATACACTTATTTTGATAGCAGACACTTATAAATTTTTTTTACACTGTAACGGTAACGTTAATATTGTACGATACGGATAGATATTCAGTAAATAGACGTACGTACGGAAAGTACAGATTCGGATGGACGTACGACAATACATAGTATTGATCGTTTCGGTATGGTTAACATGGACCTGTAAACTTCAGTTGTATAAGTAACCTTTTTAAAACGGTTAGAGTTAGGACAAGTATTATCCTTTTTTTTGTGATACGTAGAGTAAGGACACGTAGAAAAAATAGATATGGTAAAGTAGTATACGGGTCTTATGTGACAATCCGTGCTTTTTTATTTGCTTATTGGACACGGGATTGTTAACGTAAGACACCGTGCAATAAGATAGTTATTATCGTTATATGGGTATATGAATAACCCAGTTGGGTTCATATTTAAACCCGTGCCTTCGTCACGGAATATGAACCTGTGTGTAACTGGGTTATCCATACATACCCATACAATAAATGGAAATATAACTTCGATTTGAAGAATTTTCACGTATGTACGTGCGTACGTACGTACTATCATGATTTTCACAATGCGTTTCCGTATTACTTTACTATACCTGATATATCCATTTCGGGATAAACTTTAGTGTCGGCAAAATTTACCAGAATCGCTCTTTCATCTGTATATTAAAATATTACTTTAACAATTGAGAGAGATGTTTCAATTGTGATCTTGGAAACGCTTATCAGAACATATAATTAAGGGTAGGGTGAACGATTTCTATTTTTAGTAGTAATTACTTAAAAAAATTTAGCAGCGTAATTGCTATTAGAAATGTAGATTCTTCACCCTATCCTTAAAAGACTATAAAGCACCTATAGCTATCTTTCTCAGTATCACCACCAAAATGTTACAGTCATGTGACTATCAGAAAATTCTTTAAGTTTATTTAGATTAGGGTTAGAGTTTTTACTAAGGTTAGGGTTAAAGAAGTATTAATTGTAAAATTGTTTAAGAAAAACTTTTCATTAAAATATTAAAGGTAGTTTCTTATACTAGTTTTTGAATAACAAGTAATTTTTGACAAAGCAAATATTTGTTTTGAATTTTTCTGAATATGTAATATTATATCTGATCTTAATAATTAAAGTATAAAGTATTAGTACCTACAGTATATCTTGAAAAGTAAAAGTTGGATATTTTTTATAGTATACTTTATAGGTATTTTACAATATTTTTAAGTATTATAAGTACTAAAAAATCCAAAGTATAGTCAAGTAAAGTACTATATAAAAAATTTTTATATATTATAATAATATTTAGTATATTTTTATTTTGTTGTATATTTAAGATATATGTTAGATTTGTAAAAATGCAAAATATTTATTTTGCCAAAAAATTGTTTATTTTTAAAAAATTTATAAAAAATAATTTTGTATTCTAATTTCTAAGCAATTTTGCTATATTAAATCTAATTAAACCAAGAACTAAACAATTTGAAAATTTTTATAAAACAAGATTTGAAAATCTTTTATTTTATTCTTTTTAGCTTAACTAATTACTAATATTTAATTCTAATACAATAACTTTAACATTTGTGCTATAATTCTATATTATATACAACATATATTTTAAATATATATGTAATATAAATAAATATTATATATTAAGTTTTCTTTTCATTTTTTTAATTTGCAACTTTTTTAATTTTAATTTAGCTTTATGCTCTTTTAATACAATTTCTTTTTTTTTAATTGCAAGTTTTCATTTGATTATTTCAATATCTTCTAATTCTTATATATAATTACTTTTTTAAATATTAGTTTGCTTTATAGTTGTTTTTTGTCATTTTGTTAATTTTTATTTTGAAGTAGATATTTGCTTTTTGTTAGCTAAATTAATTAAAGTTAATATTTAAATTTATTAATTAAATAATAATAATAAATAATATATTTAAAAAAGAATTTTGCTATTTACTACCACTGGTGATCATCACCGGTGTTGCTATATCTCAAAAATGTACTAAGTAAACAGGATCGGGTATTCTAAGTAAAAATGTTCAGAACCCCCAAAAACCTCACAAAAACTAAAATCGGGACTTTATATTAGCTCTATATTATATTATATAAAAAAAAAATAATTCTCTAATTTCTAACCCTAACCCTAACAAATCTTAGAACTGGTGATGATCACCACCGGTGATATGTAGTAATTTTCATTTTTAAAATATTAAATATTTAATATTTAATTTTTAGACATATTTATTAATTAAAGTTGAACTGAATGAAGGAAATATACAAAATCTCATATTAACCCAGTGGTATGACTTTAAGTCAGGAACATATAAAAATTTAGAAATTATTTATACAAATTTGGAAAATATATAAATAAAATCCAAATTTTTACAGGTCCCTGCTTTAAGTCTACTAAGCATCTATAATATTATAGATATCCTAAACTTAAAGAAACTGATTTATTTAATATTATAAATATTGAAGCTATTAAAAATCAAGTTCATATAATTCCATGCTTTGAAAAATCTAATAATTATTTAGTAAATAAATATATCTTCTAATAATTTAAATAAGCTTGAATAAATTTGAATAAAGTTAATTAGAATAAAATAAATTTGAAATAAGATAAATTAATTAAAAAAATTTAAAATAATTCGAAATAATTCAAATTAAATTGAATTGAGCTAAATAATTTAGATCATATAAATAAATTTATTATATTGTATTTAAAATATAATTGAACAATATTGAATGGAGTTGTTGTACCTCCAAACAGCAGGTCTAGAGTTCGAATCCCACGGATGACGATTTTGAAAAAACTAGATCTGTATCGGTTAACGTTAAGATTATCGGTTGGATCCAAATATCTGTAATCTTGGTCACACCATCTCAAATGGGAGCTTCGGCATAATAAATCCAGGAAACTGGAATTACTGAAAACCCATTTGGCAAGTCCCGAGTTGGGAGTGGCAGCGATCTTCAACGGTGCTACAGGAAGGCGAATTTATAATCTGTGCTCGGTTTGAGTTCACGTGATGACGATCATGTAACGTTCAATGAACTTATGCACGTGCATGCATAGAACTAGTTATAGAACTGCAGAAGCGGCAATTTTAATTATAAAATTCTTACGCGAAATACAATCTTACACATAAATTTTATACTTGTTCCTTAACATAGGATATTTTTTTTTAATTGAAAAAGTTAACTATCGGTAATGCTAACTAAACATAACATGTTTAAAGTATCTTAATATTTAATAAATGTTTTTAAGCATGCATATAACCCTATTTCATAATTTCAAATTTTATTAGATCCCATTTGGTCAGTTTTCCTTTAAAGCTTGTTGTAAGTCATGAGCTCTTTTTGTTTGCCGTTTTTTTTGTGGAGGTATAATAAAACGGTGTGGATCCTCTTGTGTTTCATTCTTATGCTCATTATATGTGCTATTTTTCGGCCTTCTCTGTCGAACTTTTTTAAGTCCACGACTTGATCTTTTTCTGCGTCTAGCAGCTGCGGTAACTTGAACTCTAATTCTCTTGCCTCCTCGTTGATGACTATTACCATTAACTCGACCTTCATTCCAGTTACATGATTGAAAAAAAGAAGATATTGAAGGTCGGATATGAGTATCTTGTAAGCAGCGACGTTGCTTGTAAAATTTTACAAATTTAAGTACACTTTTATTAAGCGCTGGGTCATTTTCTTTAAGGAGATCTTCAAGATCATGGTAGAACCACTGAAATTCATTTATAGCTGATTGGTAAAGGTTATCTTCATTTTCACTTGCATCGCTATTAATATTTTCATCTGAACTATCAGATTTATTGTTACTTGTGCTTTCATCGCCTAAAGATAGTGAAGGCACTAGAGATTTAAGTTTGATAAGCTTTTTTTTTATTGTTATTAAATTTAATTTATACGATTATTAATACCTCTAATATCCTTGGTATATGTGGGTTCTTGTTCAAGATGTGCTGATAAAGATTTAAGTTTGATAAGTATTTTTTTTATATGTTATTAAATTTAATTTATACAATTATTAATACCTCTAATTTCTTCGGTATATGTGGGCCCTTGTTCAAGATGTGCTTGATGAAGATCTGCGTAAAACCCGAGTTCTTGGCGTTTTTCACCTAATGCCAAATAAGCATAGTGATACCTGCTACTTACTGACATTGTGGGTATTTGATTCAAGCCGCAAATTCGGTAATGAGTTGCTATTGAAGATTGATGCCTACAGGGTGCTCCCGTTGAATTACATTCGCACATTCCAAGTTTCATATCTACGAGGTACCACACATCTGGGTTTTTTTTACTTTTATGTTTGAACATCATTGTATCAAGATTTATAATTTCAATATCATCCTTTGATCCAATCTGCCAGCCTGTGAGTGTAGAGATAGATTTAATTATTTGAACTTTAATTATTACCGGTTTTCTTTTTT